TATGTTGAGACATATTTTTGCGATTCTCATCAGTTGAAATACTAGATTTTTCACTATTATTGTTATAAGTTACAATTGTTTTATTGCTATGAGAAGTTTTATCAGAAATTCTATTCTCTAAGTTATTAGTAATTTTATTATTACTATTATTAGTGTCATCTGAATTATTTGTCTCCAACTTTTTCTTAATATTACTGAAACTGAATTTTTCATATTGTTTACCACCAATTTTTCGCTTGACAAGCGTATTTTTTGTTGTTGAACTACTTAGTTTGGTATTACTATAAGTTATACCTTCAAAACTGTCTTCCAGATTAGATACAATTGTTTTTGGAACGGTCATACATGTAGGAACTTCAAAAGATAACGTTATGGGAGGCAAGCCATCTACTTTTACCTCAGTTATGTTTACATTAGATTTTATTTCAGGTACTTTTTTATCACAAGGGTAGTTTACAGCTGATTCTGAATTTATTAATTTATCAGATACTGACAAATCATTGGAAAGATACTTTTTACTTTTCACATCTGTAGTTTCTTCAGTAGAAAGCTTTTCATTTATATTTTGGTGAACAAGAATTTGATTTCTTTCTATTTTCAAAATATTGATATTAATTTNTTATTTTCAAAATATTAATATTAGTTTTCTCAATACTTGTTATCTTAGGAATTTTTATAATGTTCACATTTTTACTATCTCGTGTGCAAGAAACTTTTTCTTCTTCACATATTTTTTTTGACATTTGATTTAGACATTCATTTTTCATTTTCGTATTTTCTGTTTCATTATTAACTAATTGTAAACTGTTATTAATTATAATTGAGTTGTTTTGTGTACAAGAGTCTTTCTCTTTTTGGAATAGTTTCTTTGATACATTTTTAATTTTCGTATTTTTCGTTTCATTATTAACTAACTGTATACTGTTATTAATTACACTCGAGTTATTAGTAGCTACTGTATTGTTTACATAGCTATCTTCATTATTACTAGAAAATATTTCTGATTTTTTACACAAAAAGGTCTGTGAACCATCAGTGTCATTATTTATTTTTGTTGGACTCAAGCTATTAATATTTTCTAAATGATTTGTAATTAAATTTAAAGTATTATCACAATCTGTTGATACAGTTTTAATAAGTGTTCCAGGTGAATCACAAAATGATTGTTGGTTTATAGATGACAAAGCAGCTTCCTTTAATTTTGCTGTTGATTTATGATCATCCCAATAGCACGACCATATTTTTCCCACTATTCGTGGACAAAATATAAAACCATTATATCCAAAAGGCCACGGACACTAAAATATGAAATAGGCACACGAAATAAAATTATAACTAACCTTCAAAATCTTTTCTGTCAAAATCGAATTTTAAATTACGAATCGCAATATTTTTTGAATAAAATAGCATACTCTGATATTATAACACTAATAATCTTTTACCTTGTCTTCTTCACACATCCATACAGCTTCTTGTAAATTAATTTGCAATAATTTTACTTTCCTTTTTGTACCATTTTTCAAACACAATGGACATAAGTCTTCCATTATATGAAATTGCTACTATACATATACTTCATGTACATGCAGCGCAATTCACTTTCAAAATTGAATTGCTTAAATGTTTTTAGTTGTAGTTGTGTATAATAGATATCGTTGTAAAGTCAAGCCTCACCATAATAAGTAATTCTGCTTCTCCATAGCTTGTAAGCATTTTTATCTCTACCATTTTAATGCGCATCCAGGTCCGCGCAGTTACTTTAGAAGGAGAACGGAAGATGATCGAGAGAGAGAGAGAGAGAACTAAAGTAGCGAACTCTGTGTTGCGTCCGCACGGACGAGAAATCTAGGCTGTCTCGCTTTACCATGCTTGCGGTTTCACTCTTTTCGCGCATTTGTACGCCTGGCGCTCCATCTAAAACACGTGACGCGATATTTGATTTGTTCTTTTCGCCCAGTAAGAAGCGTATCAGTCCAGCGTTAGCCCTTCTCAGTCCAGCGTATTTACGAACGTCTTGAAACGATGACCATTTTTACAATTATTAACACGTTGAGCCCGGCGTTCGTCCCTACAGAGTGACAGTAAACTTTTCGTTTGGAGAGTTTAGGTTCTTGAGACCGGCAGTTTCAAAGTTAAAAAATAAAGGTAGTAATTTTAATGAAAAATGAAACACTCGAAACAAAAATATGGTTTGGTTTTTCATGTATTATAGCAATATCGGCGCTGGGCAATATCTTACGAAAACTCGTAAGCTACATTTTGGATAATACTTTCTAGTTCATGAGTCTATAAAATTTTGTTAATTCAGCCACCCCAACTGTGACTGCACCCCACCAGGCAGCGAATAATTTCGCAATTTTATATGATTTTTACTTTCAAAACTTTGAAAAACGAAGTTGGAACTTGTATTTATATTTTCTTAGAAAGACTACACATTTAATTTAGTAATTACTTATAAAAATTTTCAAACTCAGAGGTTTAGAGAATTAGAGTTAAGAATGATGGAAGATTAGAACAATTTACTGACAAAAAAGATGAAAGAACTATATGAAACAATTCCAAAACGTCTAGTAGAAATTTTGATCCGCAATCTACAACGAAACTAGCAATACAGGTAACCCTCCTACAACACGGTATCCTATAACACGGTTTCGCTCTAACACGAGAGGAAAAATTGCGGGAACCCTCGCATAGCACTGCAGACAATAACACTGTTTTACTCTAATACGATAAAAAAAATTGCGGAGAACTTTGTACAACACTGTACATACTTTTACAGCACTGAATGACATGATTTTTGTTTAACATATTTAAAAACTTAATTACCTTAAAATAATGATGGGAAAGAATAATGAACTATAGTGCCTTTACATGAAAATATAATTATTATAATTAAGGATATATAAAAATAAACCCTTCCGCTGAAAAAAAGCCGAAAATTCAAAAGGGAGCTGCAAAATTGTCTATCTTCATACCATGAAATCTACAATGACCTTGTAAGAACCAGCAAACAAATCAAAATTACAGATTTTTTAAAGAGAATAGAAGGTGCAAAATATCTAAATGAAGAAGAAAGTTCAGGAAGTGAAGATGATATCGTTCGACCGAGAAAATGTTCTCGTTTGATTGTACTGATAATGAGTATAGTGATGAGGAAGAAATTTATCAAATTAAGGTTACATTTTAAATGAAAATAATATTTTTTGTTTTTTTTTCGTTTCGTGTTACACATACATTTATATTTTTAATAAAAATTATGTTGCTTATACGGAATTAAAAAGAAATGTTTGTTTTTAATAAGTTTTCGGAACGTAACCCCTCTTTTTATACTGGCTCTGGGACTCCTATAATTCAGATTCATAGAATTACATAGGATTACTTGTATAAGGAAACGGCTGTGTTGTTTGTGAGTTTGAATTATGTAGAAAATTGTATTTTATTCGATCATCGACATTATCACTTCTGGAGCGAACTGGACGAACTTTCCTGCTTGCATTTTGAGGCCCTGAAAAGGGCCGTTATTATTAAATAGAGGAGCATGTGGTCTAACATGTGCCAGGGTTCGGACAAGAAGAGTTTCCCCAGTTATCACTATTTCATAGCATACAAATTGAAGAACTGCACATTAGACGCATGTTTATTCCATGAAGAAAATTATTTCGTTTACTGTATGCCAATTGAACTGGCCTACAATGTGTCTCCGTATAAATATATCTTCCTCAACCTACGTATAAAAACAGTTAACACATATCCACTTTATGATTCGAATAATTGTACGATGCCCGAATAAATAGACAGAACAGATCGATCGTATGAAGATTAATGAAGTTCAATAAACATCGTAAAATATTATATACTATTCAATAAATCGTGCTCTCAAACTTGAACATTTTGATGTTTCTATTTTCGCTGATAAAAATTGCTTGTCTTTGTTGCGATGTATAAACGAATATATTTAATATTTTCACATATCCCCTAATTATTTTAAATTAAAAAGCATTTCTTTTCGATGAAAAACCATAAATTCATTAGTAATTACTGTATATAATATGTTTAAAAAATAAGACTTAATGATATGAATAAAATTTACAAAATTCTTTACAACTGACAAAGTATATCTTTTAAGTCCCAAAGAGTTCCGTATTCAAACAAGACAATGTTTTCAGCACGTTCCTTTCTACAAAACTGCATAAGAATCATGTCCATCGCCATACATTTTTTCAAGTTATTATAATATAAAGACATCGGTGTGGCAGCACGTCGTACAGTGGTGACATTCTATGAAAAAATCAACTTTTCCAGATTGATAATTGTTCAATTTGTATTACTTTGTAACGCGTTGTGTGTTCGGGGTACAACAGAGGGACGCAGAGTGAAACTCCACTGGACTTTATTCGGAGATGTATATAAATGACGCGCGGTGCAGATAGTTACATGATGAAGCTCGGCGGAATGTTTAGACGAGAAGAAGTCCGGCGGAATACTTGGACGAGAAGAAGATCGCAGTTTCTTGCCTCTGTTATTTATATTATGTTCCCCAAAAAGGCCACGCCTTTTTGGGAGACTCGCTGTCTTCTTTTACCCCCGTTTAGTTTGGTGGGGGAGACAGCCATCGTCGAACCCTCGCTGTAGGGGCGCGTTGGCCGCTCGGCCGGGTAGCGGTACGCGGCCGGCGACTTTCTCCGCGACTAGGCCTGCAGTACATGTGGCAGTGATAAAAGATAAAGAGACAAAGGAATTTCCGGTTCTTGCAAACGTCAAGGACGTTTTCTCTCTGCCGAACCCTTGACATCTGCAAGCGGACAGTTTTATGGTTATTACGGTCGCCGACCGTGTGCCGCTACAACTTTACAAAGGTCTATGGGCCTCGAAAAGGAAGAAATTAATGAAATTGAATAAATATTTTAGTTACTATGAACCTTTAAAGTCGAGCGTTTTGAAAGTAAAATATTTCACCTGACGGAACTCCTCACCTTCTTCGTGATGTCTTGATCATTGCGTTGAATATTTTCTCTCAATGTTTTTATATTATGAAGATCATACCTTCCTGATAATAATAATATACATACACGTATACAGCGTGAGTCACCTAACATTATCGCCTCAAAAATCTTTGTTATGTTCAAAGATGCGCTAAATGTCTTGAGGACAAAATTGAATGATAAAATGGGACTCACACAATACCAAAAAAAATTTTGATTTTGTCATTTTTTTTTAGAGATGTCAAGGTTATCTTCATATTTTTTTAAACGGAACCACCCGTTTTAAACACCTACAATGAAAATCTCTTTCATTACGAATTCAGTGACTGTAATTACTCAAGGTCATTCAAGGTTATGCCAATATTATGTCAAGGTCATGTCACGGTTATGTCAAGGTCATGGCAAGGTCATGGCAAGGTCATGTCAAGGTCATGTCAAGGTTACGCCAAGATCAACATATGAAATTTTTAAGCAAGGTGCACAGGGAGAAATATGAAGAATATTATCAATAGGAAACTCGCCCATTTAGTTGTAAATCCACTTCATGCACGGAAATGTGTGCAGGATAGTACATAGACCTCGTACAATGTCAAAGTTATGTCAAGGTCATGTCAAGGTTACTCACTCAACTAAATGGGGGAGTATCTTATTGATAATATTCTTCATATTTCTTTAACAAACATATCCCTTACGTCCTTTAACACGATTATTAGTTATTAAATTAGCTTTGCGAATCATTCGTTGAACTGTATTCGGACACGGAATTATTTAAATTAAAATATCATTTATGAACTTTGTTAATCTTCACGGTACACCTTGCTTAAAAATTTCATATGTTACACACAAGGTGTCATGCACACTAGAAAATTAGTAAATATTCTTCAGACGTTCTAAAGTAAAGGTGAACAGCGTTTTTCTTAAAAAATATCACTGTTACGTAGTAAAAAAAAATCCGGAGAGTTCTCGCTTCGTGATTTGTACAATACTTCGAACGCAGCTCGAGTCCGTCCCGACCATCTGTCAAAGCCTCGTGCTGCGGGCTCTCGAACTTCGCGCAGTCACCTCTCATTGGTCAGTGTTTTCCGTTAATAACTCGTAAACAAAGCCGCAGATTGCAGATAAAAAGGTGACCAACAAATGACACTGCCGATCGCAAAAACAGTTCCACAATTGATCGCATCAAACTGGCCCAACTACATATCAGCACGTTCCAATGGACGCTACTGCATTATAATAAGAGTATACACGTAAATGAATCATACAATGAAATTCATATTTTATTCATATCTTTCAAACGAATATCACTATATATATCTAGAATAAACTAATAAACAACGTCCAAAAATTTTATATTACCCAAACTTCATATTTGGTGTTACCTGCAAAAATGATCGAAGATAGACGATGAAACAGAACGGAGCTGGAAGCTAAAATGATAGAAATCCAAAATAATCATATCGAAAATAAATAAATGCTCTCAAAGTTACTATCGCGTAATTGCATTACGTACGACCTATGAAAAATTGGTAAACTTTAAGTTTTAAGAACCAAACTCCGAAGATCCCGATCTTGACATATCATGATTAGGCTTATTCTCGAGAAATTTAAAATAACAGCAAAAAATATGCAAAATTTCAATTCACCATCAGATTATGGTAATATCTGTAATATTATATATCACAATTGCATGTGATAAACAGACATTAGAATGCATCGATAAAAGTTATAACACACAGAATGATTAAGGTTCAATAATATAAAATATAATTGTAAGAGCCAAAGGATGACGACCGGAGAGACTGCGAGCGATTACGTTTCTGGAGCGACCATCGAATTCACCACACCGATCGGTGCTCGCCGACTGCCGTGAGTTAAACACACGCGACGTAAGTGTGCGTGCGTACGTGAACGCCGCGATGCAAACGTGGCGACGTTGCTATGACGACCGTTTGGTGATAGATGCTAGTCGAGTGAAGCTGCCAAATTCGGAAGACTGGTATGTTCGGCTAGCGCATTCATAAAATGTCACGCTCACAGGGTGCGAAGCAGATCGTAACGAGTATCTACACGCAAAATGGCGATGGTTGTGTGGGCCTTTTCAGCCGAGTTGCTCCGTCATTGCAAAGGTGCACGATATCCGACGCACGGGCTAAGAAGTGCGCAGTAACGATCTGCGCAGGATCAGAATGGTGGTCAAACTCCAAAATTACAGGCTGCGAAATTCGAGTTTACGCCTTTTCCGATTCAACCATAGAAGCAACAATATTTATTAAATAATAACGGCCCTTTTCGGGGCTTCCTATGTTATCCAGATCCACAAACATTTTTTCATATTCCTAGTTTTGTTCCTAGCTTTGATGATTATGAAATTTTATTCGTTGCTTACGAAACTCCTTCTCGTAAAGTAGAATATTGATTGTTGATCGTCCCAATTGACAAGTGCTGGGATGGCTGAATTAAAAAAATTCTGTAGTTTCATAAACTAGAAACCATTAGCTACGAATGTAACTTACGGGTTTTCGAAAATTTCAATAATCGTGAAAATGATCGCAAATTGTTTCAAGTCTCAATAATTCTTACCTCTAATTCTCAAAAACTCTGAATTTAAGAATTTTTGTAGATAATTACTACATTAAATATGTAATCTTTCTAAAAGTATATGAATGCAAGCTTCAGTTTTGTTTTTCAAATTTTTAACAGTAAAAATAGTATCAAATTTACTATAGAAATTATTCGCTGTTTTCGATACTGCTTCTTGTTCGTAGAATATTGATTGCTAGTCGTTCCAGTTAACAAATATTGGGGTGGCTGAACGCCGCGATGCCATTAACCAAATTTTCTAGTTTCATGAAGTAGAAACCTTTAACTAAATTGTAGCTTACGGGTTTTCGAAAAATTGTCATTTCAAGACAATTTTCAAGAAAATTATAAGTTGAATATCGCACCAACTGTTTCAAATGGAGCGCTAGGCAAACGAATGCGCAAATAGAGTGAGATCGCAAACATGGTAAAGTAAAACAAGCTATATTAGTCGTCGGTGTAACTTATTTCGCTTGAGGTTGGGCTGATGTCATGCTCTCTTACTCACTCATCACTTCCTCTCTTTGTCTAAAACTGTGAGGGCAGCACTGTTCAACTGTAAAGCGTCAACCAATCAGAGGAGAAGCAGTTTCTCTACTTGCTTCATAATTCTAAATTGGTTGTTCTCTCCTTGGTTTTCCATGGTAAGGGACTACTCTACTGCATTGTACATAAAGTACGCGAAGTGTCAAGAGGGTGTAATACAGTTTCTAAAAAGGCGCAAATACCTGTTATTATTTGTTGTCAATGTCCAGAAAACTCACTTGTACTGTATTTCTTTTTAAAAACAAAGTTCGGCAGTATTCTTAAATCTTTAAATTTACTACTCACAATGCCAGTTGATCAAATACAATATTCTGAGAAATATAGCGACGATAAATATGAATATAGGTTTGTATTCAAATAGTGTTAATTGATATGAAAATATTCAATAAATCTTTAATGCACTTAGTGATATTTACAATTCATAAGATTATAAAGCCTTTATTAACCATTTTTCTTAATATTTAAGCAAATTTTTCACCTTTAGCTGCCTATTATTCTTTTTGTAAACGGATTTCTATTTGTGAATACAAGAATAACATACTTCAGAATGATTATTTCTGTTTTTAGACATGTAATTCTACCAATTGAGTTAGCAAGACACGTTCCAAAAACTCATCTTATGTCAGAAACAGAATGGAGAAATTTAGGTGTTCAACAAAGTCCTGGTTGGGTTCATTATATGATGCATGTACCAGGTATGTATTTCAAAGAAACTTTTGTTTTTTATTATATTATATTAAATATCAAAAATAATGCTCATAAAAATTAGTCTTTATATGTTCGAATAACTTGTTTTTGTCACGGATATTTATAATGGTCTAGACGTTGTACCTGGTTTTGCACCGGTGCATAGAATAATACAGTGCTTTTTCTAAAATACTTATTTTGGTGTACTTGACATTACGGTAATAGTTCTCTTTACATAATGGTTATTAACATATTGTAAACCCACATATAAAATAAAATTCGACATTGGTTTACGAGTAAAGATCCTTGAGTAAAGGATCTTTGTGCAATATTCTATGTGGCCTAAGTAGACCTGTGGACACCTTATACCTTACAGGACCTGTGGATGTTACTATGCTCTGAATCAGTGATTTTTTTCTTGTTTTATCCCTACGAAAAGAATGATTTCTGATAAGCTTTGGTAGGGGATTGTACAACCGAACATAAAGGAATGCTGTCCACAAACTTTGATGATCCAAACAGAACTATATTGAACTTTAAATCATATGACACTTTGCCACAGTTATAATATAGAATTCTTCCAGATTTTGCATTTTGAATAAACTGAAATTAGAAAATAAGTACCTAGAATATTGCAATTAACTTTGCATTTTCAAAGTTTGAACTTTAAGAATATATGTATACAGTAAAGAAATCTTTTAAAAGTAATAGGAACTAATCAATCTCATGGACTTTTCAAAAAACAGATTGAATAAATAATATCTGCACTAATAAAAAATAGATAATTTCATATTAAAAATACTGTATTTTCTAATATGTAATATGTTCACTAATGACTGTGTTTAAATTCGATAAATATTCTCAGTAAATTAATCATAGCAATAATAATTAATTTTAATTATTTTATAGAACCTCATGTGCTACTATTTCGTAGACCACGGACAGATCTTCTAACAACAGACAGATGTTCTTGTAACAACATTGGAAGAGAGACTCACAGAGTATATAGTACTATAAATGACATT